TGGGAAGTGGGGCAGCTGGGATAAGAGGTGGAGTCCATATAGGATCCCGAAGCTTGCAAGGTGAGGATTTGGCCACTGAGCCATCACACCACGTCCTCTATAATTTCTTAATTAACATTTGTAGAGGAGAAGCCATGAAGGCAAGAGTACAGAGTTCTTCAAAATCACAATGATGCCATGCATGGCTCTCATCCTACTTTATAAAAAAACATTTTTAAATTCACTGAAGAAAAAGGGGAAGAGGAAGAAGCGGGGGCCTGCACCACGACATAGTAGGTTTAGACTACACCTGTAGTGCCAGCACCCTATTTGGGCACACTTTATGTCCCAGCTGCTTCACTGCTGATCCAGTTGCCTATAAGGTATCCAGGAAAGATGGCCCAAGCCCTTGGGCCCTGCATCCATCTGGGAGATGGGAAGAAGCTTCAGGCTCCTGGCTTTAGATCAGCCCAGCTCCAGCCATTGTGGCCATTTGGGGCATGAAGCAGCAGATGGAAACTTTCTCTGTCTGTCTGTGTGTGTCTCTCTCTCTCTGCTTTTAAAGAAAAATGAGTAAAATATTTTAATGCAATCATCAGCTTTCCTGAATCTGTATATCACCACACTGCCCACCTAATGACAAGCAAGCTCCTTTGAACAGAACACCCTCGAACCTGAGCATATGAAAGATTCGGGAACAAATCCTTGACCATCCAACTGGCTTGCGGTTCACCTACCCACCGAAAGGACCTCACAGGCCACATCTGCCCAACAGAGGTAACTTCTAATGAAGAATCTTTAATTGACAATGAACATCCACTGTTAAAAGTTAGAATTGAACACAACACTGCAAAATCCCATCTACTTCCAACTTATGAAGTACCAGAGGCAGCCCAATGCGTAACCCTAAGTGACTGCCCTTGAACAGCTGGACTAAGCCAAGGACTTCCAATCAGAGCACTCACTCGCCTGATGGGGGCACTGGCGGGCCTCACAGCAAGCACTGAATAAACTGCGATCAGCTCCAGTCACTTCCACATTTAAAATAAAGGGGGCAGGCGACACATTATAGCCTCATGTGTTTGCTGCTTGCGTCTGTTATACACTATAATAGTCACAATGATCACACAGTACACACAAAAATAAATTTCTCAAGAGTTAAAAATATACACTTTTTGCATAGAAGTATAAATAATAGCCAAGAAAAACAACCAAGTCAAAAATATATGAATGCTGGGCTTTGTAGAACCAGGTATATGGGGAGGGAGAGTAATAGTTAAAGCCAAAATTAATTTTCAAAGCATTAAGAAGGTGCATTGTGTGTTGTTTTTCTACCCTTTATTAAGAACGGTGTTAAAGCCATGCAATCAGACAGAACACTAGGATAAACATCCTCACCAATGATTTCCAAAGACGTGGGTTTGGATTAGCTGGCACTAAAATTCCAGACACATTATTTCAAGTCCACACAGACCAATCCTGTATTCATGAAAGACAGTTTCCATTTAAAATATTTCATAACACGTATCACATCTGAAGAAATAGCAATTCCTGCTAATAAACACCTAATTAGCGTCCACCTCACCAATGAGCATGTAAATGTCATCTTTCTGAAAGCTTCGTTTGCATCAGAATTTAAATAAGATCCACACTTTATGACTGGGTGTTGGGTCCCTTAAAAGTCTTACTAACCTATCCAGCTCCCTCTGCCCTGTGGCCGATTCAGGGGAGGCTCTGGGTCCTGTGTCTCTCCGTTTCCCGTGTCTGTACCTGCTGACTGCATCCTGTGGCATGGACCTTTTCCTCAGCATGCCACGCTTGTCCTCCCTGCATATTCGTAGCTGGACCCAGGGACCAGATTCACAGCTTGTGCCTTCCGTCAAGACCACTTCTTAGGCAGTGCCATGTCCCTCCATCTACAAGTACATGATGCTGGGGGCGCGTCACTGGCCAATCGCTTTCTGCTTCACTGCAGCAGCAGGTGGTGACTGTCCTAATCTGTTTGCAACCCTCACTCGGATTTTTGTTGTGTCATCGTGTCCGCCTGGACAAAATCCCTAAACTCCTGAGTTGACTGCAGTCCCTACCCCTACCGCTGCCCTCACTGGGCCCATCTAGATGTGTCTCCAGCAATTCAGGAGGCCCCAGGGTCCTCTCACTTGGGGTGGTGCTGATGAGGACTCCAGCCTACCCTTGAAGAACATGATCATGGGCCTGGCAACTCCCCTGGCCCACAAAGTCTCCTTCAGAGGCAACATCCTGTGGCTGCCCTTTGAACCACCTAAATCTCCCTTTGGCAAAATGTGCCACAGTGTCATGACTGCATGTCCCATACAAATGTAGGCTTTTGTGCAGGCTTCTCTGACTCAAGATCGGTGCATCTTTTGGGACATGTCCCATTGCCACTGTGCCCGAGACACCAGGGAAGAAGACATGAGCAGCTCTGTCATCTCCTCGCTGTCCCCTGCATGTGTCCACTGTCACATGAGCCACTCTCCACTGCTTTCTTAGGCCACAGGCAGGGAGCTGGATAGGAACTGAAGCAGCCGGGACACGAACTGACACCCATATAGGATCATGGTACTTCAAGGGGAAGGATTAGCCAATTGAGCTATTGTCCCGGGCACAATTGCCACATTTTAAACATACTCCACTAATGCAGGCCCTCTTGGCAGGCTGGGATCACCAATGGGAGGCATTCCTACTTGGGATGCTATAAATCATTAACATAGTATGGCCCCACATCAACTGCCCAGTATAAAGTTGTATAATGATAGCTACTGCCCTAATTCTCCCATTCTGTTCTGTTAGCCTAATTTTCTGGAACATAAGAAAAGTTGTTTAAAAGGCATTCATTTCTGCTTATTCTATTTACTTACTTGCTCCCCTCACCGCCAAGATACTTTACTTACTCTTTAAAGGTAGAGTTACACAGAGAGAGGTTGTCCATATTCTGGTTTGCTACTCAGTGGCCAGAGCTGGGCCAGGCTGAAGCCAGGAGCTTCTTCTGGGTCTGTGGGTGGCAGGGGGCCAACCTCCAATGCCCTGTTAGGCACATCAGCAAGGAGCTGGACCCAAAGTGGAACACTAACATCCAAACTGACACCCACATGGGATGCTGATGTGCCACAACCCATTTGCTTTTTGGCATCTAGGAGAGCTTGCGACTTTGTGTCGACAATGGCATTTACCCGGGAGCTCCTCTGGGCTCCCTCTTGTGTAACTGGTAGTGTGGCATGCCCTAATTTCCTACCACGGCAGTTTGCTGTAGGCTAGCAATCGCATCTCCACCCTGGGAAGGTGCTACTGAGGATCTTGTTAGAAAGCATGAGACCATGATTCACTTTAAAGACTGCTGAGCCCAGGATCTCTGAGCCAGCCGGCCTGGCCTTGGGGGCCTCTTACTGAGCGGTGACTGCTATGAGCCCTCTCTGCACCTTGGGGAGGCAACAGGGGATGGCAAGTCCTTGAGCCCCCACATCCACACGGGAGACCCCATAAAGAAGCTCCTGGGTCCTGCCTTAGGATTGGCCCAGCTCTAGCCATTAAGGCCATTCTGGAGGAATAAACTGAAGAAATGAACAATCACCCCTCTTTGTCTCTTCCTCTCTGTCAATTCAACAAAACTGAACAAATGTTTAAAAAACAGTAAAAATTAAAAAGTTCAAGGGCTAATTAACAGCCATATCCAATAAAATATAAAAAAACCCTCCAGATATGAATTTCATATACCATATCCAAACTTTGCCTGATACCCAAAAGGGGAAAAGACTTATACTTGAGGAACATTGCTCAGTGAGCACAGATACTTTAGTGAACAAAAGGCAGTGAGGGCTTCATTCACCAGAAGGCACAGGTTCCTTCCAAACAGCCAGCCATTAAATCACTCACTCAGGGAACTGGTGCCTGGCAGAAGATCCTGTGCAACTGCCCTCCACAGCACCTTGCAATGCCTGAACTGAATCCAAAGACAGATTTGCAACAGCAAAGTATATCCTTGCAGCTATTAAGTGATACTGTCACTGAGAGAGTTGCGCAAACAAGCAAGTGTTCCAGCGCCTTTGATCCTTACACTCAGAATGAACCTCGTGAAGCAGTCAGCTGCAGCCCACAGCATCCCTCAAGCCACCCCCATCCTGAGCAGCCCTGCCCCACTCCCATCACTCTTGCCTCTAGTTGTGTTAAACTGATATTCCTTCCCGTTTGCTCCTTGAGCATACCTTCAAGGGGCCAGGGAAACAGATGTGGTTTATCAACATCTGGAAGCAAATTGCCCAAATGCTACACGCCGCTAAACACCAGTGGCAAACATAGGAACCCAGATGCATTTTGCAAGAACAAATTACGCACTGAAACTATCATCAACCTCTATCCTATAGCATATTTCCATCAATCATGTCATTATCCACGTAAATGTGAGGATGCAGATGAGCAGCCAACGTCTCACTCCAAAGACCACAGAATTCCCAGAGATAAACCTAGAAGATAAGGGCCTTCTGCATCTTAACAATACTAAACTGGGAGATTTTAACATCAGCAACCCTGATCACTTGTAGCAAAACTGCCTCCCTTTCTGAGTGATGCTTGCAGCATCACAAAGGGTCCCAAAAGTGACAAAGCCCGAATCCTATGGTCAAAAAAACACACTCCCCTGGTTCCAGGTTCCCTCAGATAGAGAATGGGTGACTGCGCCAGGCCCTCCGATCATTTCTATTCACTCTGGCATGCAGGCAGAACACAGGGAAATGGGAAACCAGGTAAGAGAGCTTGAACAATTACCCTTACTTAGGTAGTCAGGAGCAAATGAAAGCTCGCTGATGTGAAGTGAGCCTGACATATTAGAATCGAAAGCGCTGCCTGCCTCTCTTGCAAGAGACACGTGCCCAGAGTTCTAAACTTCATCAGTTTCTGATCAGAACGATAATGGATTCCATTCACAGGGGCAGGGAGGGGTAATGCAGGCCGGCGTTGCTGTAAATGAAGATGAAACGTGCAGCGAAGGAAGAAGAACGTCCACTTACTCGTGCGAAGGACAGAAGGTGTGACCTCAATTTCACTTGGGGCTTGGTAAGGCTGGAAAGCCGACACGCTGTTGGTGCCCAGCTCACCCCCGAATAGCTCTGGGCTCTGGGTACCCGTGGAGCTGGCACTGGTGCCATCGCCTCCGTGGTGGGGGTCCTGCTCGTCAAACACTGCCACCAGCTAGAAAAGAAAAGCAAGCTTGTGTTTAAAGATGAAGACATTCAGTCTCTCCCCTTGCTTTAAATAATAATAATACATTATTTCAGCAAAAAAAAATCACAACCTATAAAAGTCATGAGTTAGGCAATGAGGATTGCTATATTTGGGCACGCAAAGTTCAAACAGCATTTCCCAGGATTCTGAAGCTCAACTTTGCACACTGTCCAAAATGGCATTCGTCAGACCTCACAGAATGCAAACACAGGGACACACACGCACATTCGTTTGAGGCAGCGGGTGTGTTGGGACGAGAAATGAGAATGACACACAAGCACAGACACGGACTTTGGGAATGAACTATTGCTCAGTAAGGAAGAAGGGAATATGAGCATGCACCACGCTCATACACATGGAAGACACAGAGCAGGCAATGAACGGGTTTCCTCAAGGGAACTAACATGTGCGGGGTTGAGAGGAAGGAGTTGGGTGGAACAGAGGGAAGGGACACTAAATCACTGAAATCTATCAGAACATCACAGCAATGGGGGACCACCCTAGGAACCCAGAAGACACTTGCAGGATCCTCACGATGCCACACATGACCCACATGACCCTGGGGGAGGGGGGGGAGGTGGAGAAGCCAACAACCACAGCTGAAGGTGGCTCTTGTGTGTTCCCAATGATTGTTGAGGGTTGGACCATGGCAACATTAGGGGGCAACATAAGGGACAGATGGGGACATGGGGAAACGCTCTAACTTAACAACTTTTGTCAATGATAAAACTACTACTTCAAGTTTAAAAACCTTCAATCTTAAAACACATTATTAAAAATGACTTTAAAAAAACCTTAAACCTCACTCTGCTGCTTCTTATAATCAATACAGTTGTCTAAATGCTCATGAAATTATTCTTTAAAATCCCCCTCCCAAGTCAACAAAATCCAGCTATGCTTGGAAAAGTGGACCACAGCTTGTGCCTCAAACCCAGCCTCTGGTCAATGCCAACAGACTGTCAGTTCAATGGTATCCAAGACCGACACATGAACATGGGCGGTATTGACGCCGATGACTCTCATTTTGGCATTTTGAACAAAAACGACTTATCCATAATATCTGCAACTAATCAGTGAAAATAGCAGTAAAAAAACAAGACAAGGTCATGGAGACATGTAGGTGAACAGGAAATCAGAATTCTACTGAGGTGCAAAGCATCCTTAGCTGATCACGTAACAGTGAAGGTGAGTAGTTAACAAGAAAGCAAAGCTGAGTGAAGGGTTTGACGGCTCAACCTTGCAAAGTACAGCACAGGTGGGAACAGCCACCCTAACAAATACCAAGTAACAGGCAAGAGTCGCACAAATTCATCCCTTATACAGGCACAAGAAATCTGGGCCATGAACTATCAGCACAGCCATGCCTCAGAATCAGAGATCAGCCAACACTACCAAGAAGAGCCAGAGGTTAAAGGCCACTGGAGCTTTAAGCACTCCCATGTCCCCGCTGATGTCACAGGATGGCACCCCTAGAAGCACAAATCTCAGTAAAACACATTGTACTATCCTGTAGCACAGGAGGCAGATGCGGTGCACTTCGCAAACCACTGGATGGACGTGGGGAGTCCCAGGACCTGGACAAGGAGAAATGGCCCTGCCCAACTGGATGCTCATGCTCCATGTGGGTGATGAAATACCAAAGGGTAGCACATCCTCACACAACTGTCAGGTTCAACTACAAAGGTTGAAAAATGAGGACGCAGTAGCCACCAACACAAAGGCAGATGATGACTTTACCTGTGCTCCCTGCACCTCACTTTGCTCGCTACACCCCAAATAACAGGTCTGCCTAGTAACACTTCACTTTGAATTTTCATCTGGGAAAGGCAAGGACTCCCTTAGATCACTGTGTGGAGGGATGAGTGGTTCCTCGGTGCCACGCGTGGCACTGGGGACCCTGGGTGCTGGGTGTGGTCTTTCTAGAGGCACTAGAAGTGATGCTGAGTCCTGGGGGTGCTTCCTGGAAGATGACATTCACCGAGGCCTTCTCTCAAGCAGCAAGCCCCCCAGCAAACTCCAAGCCACCATGGCAACCTGGGAACGGCAACACAAAATGCAGAGTACCCATCTTTCAACCCCACCCACACAAGTGCTGCTTGCAGTCTTTGGCTCCAGTCATTTTCAAAACACCAGTATTATGAAATCTGGATGGTGCCACGAACAAATGTGTTTGAGTTTCAGTGCTGAATCGCAGTTGGGGCGTCATGATCTGCCAACAGCACACAATGCTGCCGCTTCCTGTTCAACCAAAGTGCCAGGTGCAGACCCCAAGTAATTCTGCGTTCAACTGAGAAGGATATGTCTAATTTTAGAAAAATCTACTCTACCAGAATACATAGAGTAACACAGAAAAGGAAAGTGGTACTTTCACAGAAACATCACAGATTTTAAAAATCTCTCTCATGCCCTTCAAAAGCTTAAAAAAATTTATTTTTAATCATGAAACATGACTCAAATCTGAATTTCAACAGATGGGATCCCCACACTGCCCATGAAGCAGATCAGAATTGAAAGTTCTTTTTTATTTTTTTTTAAACTTTGATGGTGATTCAAGTTCTCTCCTCTATTCCATTCATCCAAGTCTCTGCAAAAAAAAGACCGCCCGGTGTGGACAGCGCCCACAAGAACACGAATCAAAACAAACTCCCTACCCGGACATGTTTCTCCCACGCACGCAGGACGGCTCATGCAAATGCCTTGAAACCTCAGCTCCCACGGAAAGGCTGTTGTGCAAACGCCGTGCAGAAACATTTGACAACCACAGTGGCGGGATGCGGCGAGCAGGAAATCAGTGCTGAAGTCCCGCTCTGACCTCACTGCCGTGGGGCACACAAGGGCAAACCAACTGCCCTCCCCTAGGATCTCCACAGCCTCGCTTTCTTTATCTGGAGAAGGTACCAAGCCCAGAGGCAGAGTAGCACACACATGGATGCATGCACACTCCCTCTCTAAGCTATCCATGCCGACATCCCTGGAACCGGAGAGAATATCCACTATGATGGCAATAGGGTAAACATGGAGCATCTGATCACCCAGTGGCCTCTCGGTGAAAAGTCCCTCCTGGCCTTTAAATGCAGACACTGGGGGTCGGCAGAGCATATCAAATCGCTGCCTGTGATGCCAGCATCCCATTTGGGAGCTGCTCCAAGAGTCCCAGCTGCTCCACTTCTGACCCAGGTCCCTGTTAATGCAGTGAAGAGGCAGCAGAGGGTAGCCCAGGGCAACCCAGGAGGCCCTGCCACCCACATGGGGAATCAGGATGACGCTTCAGCCTGGCCCCGCCCTGGCCACTGCAGCCTCCTGGGGAGTAAACCAGCAGCAGCTTTCTCCCCTCGCTGAAATACTGTCTTTCAAAAAAAGAAATTTAAAGCTAAAAATAAAAGATGGAATCGATTCCAGGGCCCACAGCTACTTGAATTTTAGAGTACTTTGTGCTCTGCCAGGACACCCCTCCTTCCCCACAACAGGCCTAAGTCTTCACCGTTGGGTCTCCCTGAGCCCAGCTGTGCTGCTGCCGTGACAGCCCTGAGCTGTGCAGACACACAGAGCCCTCCTGAGCACCAAGCACTCAACTCTGCCTCCCTCTGCTGTGTTCCTGAGCAAGGAGGGTCCTTGTTCTTGTACTTCCTCAGCACCCCAAAGCCTGTTCCCCTGAGCTGCTATTGCCTCAATAGCCCCAGTGTGGGAAATCAGCCTTGGATCTCCGCCTGCTTGGCCTATGTGGGAGGTCATAAGGATGTGGCACACCGTGACCCCGGAGGAGGCCCCTGGCAATGGTCTTGGCACACCAGGACCTCAACATGACCTGATCAATGGCTACACAGGCGTGAGCGGTGGGCTCTACTCCAGTCTCTTTGCTGTCCTTGGAGAAGTCAGCTGAGGACCTAGCTACGCACCAGCTTATATGTTCTATGTGACCCACAGACACGTGTAATGAACGTGACCTGCAGCTTACCTGCCAGCCATGTGCGTTGTACGTGACCTGTACATGATTGGAAGGTCTAGAGTGACATGCCTTCTAGCCAATTACTGTCATAGTTGGGTGGGAAGACTGCTGGAAGACGTCCTTCTGCCTTTCCCCTTTCTTAGTCTAAGTTTGTGATTACTTTACAATAAACATACATGCTGGATCAGACTATGGTTCTTGCTGCTGAACACTGTTCACCCAACCCCTCAGTGATCATGGGGACCTGCTGGTCAGGAAACCCTCAAGAACCAAACTACCACCAATAAGCCAAATCCTGCCTTATCCTTGCAACTGGCAAGATATCAACGATTGGATCCAAGTACGTCCTACTGCAAGCTCTAGGCAGGAGTCTGGGTCAAGGCTCTGGGAACCGTGGAGATATGAGCCAGTCCTCACTAAGCCACACCATCGCACAAAATTCACACACCACCCTAATGAACCCTTTCCAAGTCCCATTGTTCAACAAGGGGGGGAAAAAAAAAAGAAAGAAATGGTGAATTATTTTTGGCGATCAGGAGTGGAAAATATTCTATCCTAAAATACACTCCAAAGAATTACTTCCTTATTTCTAAATTTTGCAAATATTAAAAATTAAAGACACAAAAATATGTCATTTTTTCAAAGCAAAGTTGGCTACAGCTCCCATCAGTCAATCAGAACCAGGAAGTAGTTAAACAATGTCTTCAGAGTCACAGAAAACTTCTAAATACAATGTCAGGCCTGAAAATAAAGAGGCAAGCCAAGTTGTCATCTCCGACATTCAAAGACAAAATAATAAGCAGGTTTCCAACCCAAAGAACAAGCATCAGATCCAACCGGGAGAGCAGAAATTGGCTTTCCCAAATTCATGCAACACATCAGAGACCCAAATATGAAGCTGATGCCTCCATGTGATCGGCAAACAGACTAAAGGTGAAGCTTGATGCAATCACGGTGCAGTGTCCCAACGCACTTGACCTTGGAGACCCACCTGGGGAATGGAGGCAGGAGTCCATGAGCC